AGTAACATTCAAATTCTGAGCTCCAAGAATGAAATCACATTCATTGTTCTTTAATCAATGAGATAGGAAATAATGAAATAGAAAACAAACTTAAAACATTTAGATAGGAATAAGATCTCAAGGCATGTACGTACTGTCTGCTCATGATTAATGACATAGAGGCGCGGTTTATAGCTCAAATCAACAATTTGCTCCCACAGCAGTGGAATTGAACCCCGAACCTGAGATACAAATAGGTTCACATGAACTAGCCTTCTCAATATGGATATGTGACGAATGACATTGGGTATATACTGGAAAACTTTGATGGGTTAGTCCTTCTTGATTGTCTAACAAAAGGCGGAATTAAAACAACTAATAGGATATATTGTGCATTTGGTGTACTGTCTGGGATCCACGATTAACGTTAATGAGTAGTTGCTCTGCGTAGAACTATATGCATCAAGAAATGTATAGTCCAAGTCAAGAAAATGGGTGAGAGCTAAGTAGAACTTTATAAAAGAGAAAAACTTATAAAAACTTCTCCACATTATTTTCAGCAAAAACTATTTTCTCAACCACACAATAAGTATTTGGTTCATAGGTTCCAAAGATCCCAGGAAAGAGAAAAACAAATGTTCTTTAACATTCATTAAAGAATCATGTGCATCATCAAATGGACACTTAAGTAATGAAAACTATGGAAACGAGAATTTTATTCTCTCTTATTTTACATTACAAAGAGCCTCAATATATAGTACAAAATAGGGAATAAAAAAGGTAAGCTTCTAACTNAGTAACATTCAAATTCTGAGCTCCATGAATGAAATCACATTTATTGTTCTTTAATCAACGAGATAGGAAATAATGAAATAGAAAACAAACTTAAAACATTTAGATAGGAATAAGATCTCAAGGCATGTACGTACTGTCTGCTCATGATTAATGACATTGAGGCGCGGTTTATAGCTCAAATCAACAATTTGCTCCCACAGCAGTGGAATTGAACCCCGAACCTGAGATACAAATAGGTTCACATGAACTAGCCTTCTCAATGGATATGTGACGAATGACATTGGGTATATATACTGCAAAACTTTGATGGGTTAGTCCTTCTTGATTGTCTAACAAAAGGCGGAATTAAAACAACTAATGGGATATATTGTGCATTTGGTGTACTGTCTGGGATCCACGATTAAGGTTAATGAGTAGTTTCTCTGCGTAGAACTATATGCATCAAGAAATGTATAGTCCAAGTCGAGAAAATGGGTGAGAGCTAAGTAGAACTTTATAAAAGAGAAAAAGTGAAAAACTAAAACTTATAAAAACTTCTCCACATTATTTTTCAGCAAAACTATTTTCTCAACCACACAATAAGTATTTGGTTCATAGGTTCCAAAGATCCCAGGAAAGAGAAAAACAAATTTTCTTTAACATTCATTAAAGATTCATGTGCATCATCAAATGGACACTTAATAAATGAAAACTGCTCATTCTAATGACTATGCGATTAAATCAGGAACATGCATATATTTACCAAACCACACATGATTTTTAGAATCATCTTTTGTTCTGGACATAATAAAAATTATCCGCTTCCAGGGAAATGAAGTTCACATATCAATATTAAGCATATACCTTAGTTGCCCATATAATCTACTACATCCATAGCTTAAAAAGGAGGTACTACCAGCATATTCTCTATGATGGTGAAAAACGAATCATGAATTAAATGCCCTTAAACTATAGGTTCTTGAGAAGTGAAGCACACCTGCAGAAAAGAGGAGATATAACCTCCAAATTCAAGCAGCTGTTCAGATTCTATAAAATTAGCAGTGTCTCCTTCTAGATTGGCTCCTCTTCTCCACATTCTTGTCCCTGGATTCAACACCAGAGCAAGTATTCAGAAAAGGTAGCACAAAGCCATATATATGATAAAAAGAAAAAAAATAAAGCCTCAGGATTTTGTACCTAGACGCCGTGTACACTTCCGTGAAATTAATGTTATTACAGCGGGCGAATTTTTCAGCTTGCTTTCTCCAGTCTGGAAGCTTTAGTCTTAGTTAAGTACAAACATGATCCTTGTGGCTAGATTTTTCATTTACTTTTGGTCTTCCATCACTATAAAGTAACTATAAATAGACATACAGAGAGAGAGAGAGAGATGGATAGTTGGGGTTAAAGGATATTTCCTTGTAATAGGGGGATGATAAATTTATCAAGCTGCAAGAACAAGGATTTACATATTAGAAAGGATTAAGTGATCAAAATTAACTCTTGCCAAACAGTTTTCATGTAAAAATCAGAAAGGTTTTTCCTCCAAACTTTATCNGAACAATCCCATTCTTCTTCTGTGTTCTGATCGAGTTCTTGCCACAAAGAACTCATCTCTAGATAATATTCCGTCGCATCCCTCTCCCTCTGTTTTGTTTGTCAAAGCTTGGTTTTGATCTCAAAAATTTGGGATGAGTCCTCTGTATCGGAGTACATGTCACGGACGGCTTCCCACACATCTTTGGCCGTTGGTAGAAAGAGATAGGGTTTCCCAATTGCGGGTTTCATGGAGTTAATGAGCCACGCAGTCACCAATGAATTTCCGACCTCCTCTCTGCAGAAAGACGGCATCGATTGAGGCAAGCTGCTTCTTTTCTCCGGTAAGATATCCTAATTTACCTTTTCCATCGACAATGAGCTTGATTGACTGAGCCCATTCACGGTAATTCTTTCCGTTTAATTTTTCCACGGTGAGTTGGAAAGACGAATTGTCCAGTCCTCCAGAGCCCATGGTAGATGGAGATTCTACTTCACCGTTTTGGGACTCAGACGTGGTTTGCTGGTTGTTTTCAGTTTGTCCTTCCATTGTCGGTTGAAAGCTCGGTCAGGAATGACCAGACTCTGATACCATATGGAAACGAGAATTTTATTCTCTCTTATTTTACATTACAAAGAGCCTCAATATATAGTACAAAATAGGGAATAAAAAGGTAAGCTTCTAACTAGGGGAATATAAAATTTTACCTAATCTAGTTAAGGTAAAAAATCAATTATACAATCATATAAAAAATATTTCCATAACNCTCAATATATAGTACAAAATAGGGAATAAAAAGGTAAGCTTCTAACTAGGGGAATATAAAATTTTACCTAATCTAGTTAAGGTAAAAAATCAATTATACAATCATGTAAAAAATATTTCCATAACCGGGATTTCTACAAAAACTGCTCATTCTAATGACTAAGCGATTAAATCAGAAACATGCATATATTTACCAAACCACACATGATTTTTAGAATCATCTTTTGTTCTGGACATAATTAAAATTATCCGCTTCCAGGGAAATGAAGTTCACATATCAATATTAAGCATATACCTTAGTTGCCCATATAATCTACTACATCCATAGCTTGAAAAAGGAGGTACTACCAGCATATTCTCTATGATGGTGAAAAATGAATCATGAATTAAATGCCCTTAAACTATAGGTTCTTGAGAAGTGAAGCACACCTGCAGAAAAGAGGAGATATAACCTCCAAATTCAAGCAGCTGTTCAGTTTCTATAAAATTAGCAGTGTCTCCTTCTAGATTGGCTCCTCTTCTCCACATTCTTGTCCCTGGATTCAACACCAGAGCAAGTATTCAGAAAAGATAGCACAGAGCCATATATATGATAAAAAGAAAAAAAAATAAAGCCTCAGGATTTTGTACCTAGACGCCGTGTACACTTCCGTGAAATTAATGTTATTACAGCGGGCGAATTTTTCGGCTTGATTTCTCCAGTCTGGAAGCTTTAGTCTTAGTTAAGTACAAACATGATCCTTGTGGCTAACTTTTGGTCTTCCATCACTATTAAGTAACTATAAATAGACATACAGAGAGGGAGAGAGAGAGAGAGAGATGGAGAGTTGGGGTTAAAGGATATTTCCTTGTAATAGGGGGATGATAAATTTATCAAGCTGCAAGAACAAGGATTTACATATTAGAAAGGATTAACTCTTGCCAAACAGTTTTCATGTAAAAATCAGAAAGGTTTTTCCTCCAAACTTTATCAAGGTTGCCTGAAATTTCCTTTGGTGAGAAATACTTCCAAATATATATGTATTGTCATGGCAACATATCCGAAAGACAATAAATTTAACATATCATCAGTTCTCCACTCCAGTAACACTGGGAAATGAGGGAGTGGTTACTTCTAAGTTCTAACCTTGTTCTCAATAAGCTCCTCCAGTAAATTTCTATTCCAAACAAATCGTGGGTCGGCCTGAAATTAACCAGGACTTAATATAATCAATGGTGATTCTCACCGGAAAAACAATCGAAATAGGAAAAGTATCAAAATTAGACTTCAATACTGAAGAAGCACGGTCAAGATTAGTTCAGAATTAGTTCATATCTTCCTATCTGTCCCTAAGGTTTCTCAAGCAAGACGCTAATCGCCTAATCCCAGTGAAAAAATACAGAGGTCACATAAGTGAAGATTATAACATGCAAATTCGCAAGAAATGTTTATTTGCAGCTGTTCACATTGCACCAGACTTAAATTCATCCGAAAGATAGATATTTGAAAACCCCAGAATTGAAGTTATATACCTGCTTCCAAACTGGTCTACTCATCCACCCTTCTGCCAGCTTAAACCTTCTCTGCAAACTGGTAAACATCATCAGTTTTCATGAAAATATTGGAACATTAAATCTTGTGGGAAGTAAAAAACATGGAAAACTAGAAGACACAATCAAGCCATGAAAAAGATTCAACAAAAGAAAGATTTTTTCAATCTTTTCAACCTTGGTTCCGTAGGAGAAATAGAAATGAATTAAATCTATAGTCAAACATACTTGAGTGTGATATCTGTCCCATAAGAATAATATAAGCCTGGAGTTGATTCCACTATTTTCAACAGAGTCATGAAGTAAGCTTCGTCCTTTTTCTGTATGCGGTTGATATTTGTAAGTGTTGCAGTTTAGCTAGTTTACATACAACAAATGGAATTCGAAGCCCTGGAAACTTCCAAAATTAACAATACATAAGATGTGCTCTTACTTCTTGACTGGTTAAGAACCTTGAAGCCTCGTTGCAGGATAGAAACTTCATAGATGTGACCCGGAAAACTGGAAAACCAAGATAAGTTCCCACATCCTTCCTGGAAGTTATAACTAGTAAGTGTGTACCTAGGCAAAAAATAGAAGCCAATTTTATCATCTTGATATTTGATATGGTAGGAAGTGTAATAACTCATTTATCAGTAAATTAGTTTGATAAGTGCCCACAGGACATAACAATGATGTATATATTCCAAAAAAGGGGAAGAGTTGAAACCAAGCAAAGTTAGAGAGCAAAAATACAATTTCCTTACACTCGTCTGCATTGGCAATCCTGTCAATGAATACAATCAATTTTTATCTTGATTCAATCTGACTGATAACCTTCCTAAGGATTTTGCTTCTCAGAAGTCATGTCCAATTCTTTCCACTTCATTTCTTAATTTATTTTGTTTTATCAGTGCCCATACTTGAGGTACTAATGACATCTTCAAGAGAAGGAAAATCTAAGTCAATTGTTTAGTATTGCAAATTACATGGAGAAACTAAATGCTTCCCACAGTCCCACTACATTTTAGTCCCTTCACAGTTGTCAAACACCAGACTACTAATAAGTAATAACATGAAAATTAATTTCAGTATTTAACCTGAAATAGACAGTTTGTAAAAGGCAGTTTTAACTTTAACATCCTATCTATTTGATCGACATTGTGAAGTGTTGAGTGGTGTTAAGCCCTTCAATTCTCGTATATTTTCTTCTTCGGTTCTTGTTATTCTTATCTCTTTCAAACCTTTCATGATTTATCCGCATAACGTTTAAATGACCCAATTCATAGAGTTACCACCAAATTCGTTCTAGCAAAAGTGATCTGTAAAGCAATTAAGAAGATAACTCGAGTTGGCTTTACAAAAGCACACTGCTAATGCAAAATCCTAGTAGCCTAGTTGCTCCTTTCTTAAGAAGCCATCAATTGAAATGACTGTGGAAGCATCAAAGTATGCAGATACAATGGATATAAAATTATGCAACTCATTTCGTGTACCTGCTAGCAACCTAATTGTTCCAGCTATCCCATATAAGGTTGAGACTTTAGAAGAACTTCCAGAACCCTCATCATCTGTGAAAATAAATAATAACACATTAGATATCAGCTTATGAACAAGTTGAATATCAAAGATCGTACACCAAATAGAATTTTGGGGGTAATTTTTAGAGAGAACAAGGAAAATAACTCTAATAATTAACTTTAAGAACATTAGAGTACAAGGATTGAAGTAAATACTTTCAATTTCCTTTTTCAGTTATATATTCCATCTTGAAAACTTATGTGACAATTTGGTTTCAATACATTCTTAAGAGTCTGTTTTCAATTTATGCAGTAGCATTTTAATTTTTTTAAAATGAAAATAGCTTCTAGTTGCGAACAGCCCATTGAATAACAAAAAATTCGTAAAAGAATATTGGCGGTATCCTGTTATGCGAACCATTTTAACAAGTAATCACGTGCAAGTCTTAGGAAGCAGAAGCGAGCGTTTGTAAGTGCAAGACCCAGCAAACAAAAGTGACAAACTGTTGTCATTACAACATTCCATATCGTCAAGCAAAACGTGAATTGATAACAAAATCAGTTAGAAAATCAATCAATCAATCAATGGCTATCACATTTCGCTAACTAAAAAGACACATTCACGCCCAAAGCCTAAAAAGAAATCTATAAATAAGATGGCTTGGGATGAAGAATGCTATGCTGAATTTGAAATAGCTTCCTTCCAAATAGCCACTTCACTTCTTGCTTCCTGTTAGGTAGCAAAATAGTGAGTTTACGAGGGAAAAACTCTGACTAGGTGAGACAAATTTGCTGTCATTATTTAGAGGTCAACACTGCCAATGACAAAAAGAGAGGTATACAATCAACCCCATTAAGGAGAAAAAGACCCAAATATATCTCTTCAAGCTAGCTGCAATTACTGTTCCTCCTGTGTCTTGAATCACCACTCCCGTCCGCAACATTTCTAGCTTCTGTTCTTACTGCAGCTTTTCAAATTTGGCTATGCAGTAGCATTTTAACTACTTATCATTGAAGACGTCGGTATTACACTATTTAATCATTCAACCACCAGAAATCGTGCAACTTTTTTCACATATAGATAATTTTGTCACTCACTCATTATTATCAACACATACTTCATCTTGTTCTAATTAACATGAAGAACTGATGCTAATATGTACTAGGAAAACTAACAAGGATTCTCTTAACGCGAGTATAAAATTTAAGCAAATGATGCCTCAATTCTATAAGTATTTACATTTTTTGTTTGTTTCCCTTTTGGTGCAATTAAATGAAATTCGAAACAAAGTTTGAACTTTTCACATGGTAAAGAGAGAGAGACAATTAACCGTCGAGTTTATTAATGTTCCCGTCGAAGCGGCTAATGGAGAATCCTTGATCTGGCGATTCAATGGATTTTATCACAAATTTGTTGGGGAATTCATGTAATTCCAATTCGTTCCATAGCTTGAAATTGCTTGTTGAATCTGATTGAATTTCCATTTCGGAAAATTCAGGAAAAAAAACGATTCCGAGAAGAAGATTTGAAGATCGGAAAAATCGGATCCCGAGTTGTAACGTTTCTATGGGTCAATGATTGAACTGAAAACTAAATGAATTGAAATGAAAGAGACGGAGGAACGGTCAAAATTTATCAAAGGAAACTCGTAAATAAGGGAAGCGTTACGCTCCTCGCGATTTATATGTTGTACTCTTCCTAACAATCATTTAAAATTTATAATTTCCAAATTCATTTTTAACGGCATATTAGAGCCATATAATATAATAGACGAATGAAGAAAAATTGTTGTTCTAAAAAAAAGATGTATGTTAGATATTTTTTAGATACAAGAGATTTGTGTAGAATCTTCCGAAATTATAGTGTGATATTAATGAATGAGAATGTTGCCAAATGTTACGATGTTCTTCGTATTTGACATATTGAAATAATGCGTTGCACTTTCACTCTTTTTTTTACTTGCTTCAATTATCTTACTTTGTTCGTGTCAACCTCGATGCTTAGTGAGAATCCAACACTAGCATTATGCACATGTTCTCGAGTTCTTTCCCTAGTCCTCGGCACCCCTTTGTAGGCAAGTGATACTAACTCCAGTTTCCTAACCAATCACCGCGGAATGTCTCATAAGATGCCATGTGGATATACAGACACGGAATCGAGCCTATTTGATCGATCTAGATTTTTTTTTTTCCCCCAAAAATCAGTTGTTTTATTCAAATTGGTGGGTTGTTGACACAAATAATAAGTAGAAGGGAAAATCTTCTTGGCCCGCCTCAATGGCAGGCCCAAGAACGGGGCGCCATTGGAGGGGATAAGCTCAATGGCACGGCTCTAGTCCTGAAGGGTTGCTCAATTGAACCCTGAGGAATTGCTCAATTGGTCAGATCTTAGATTTGCTCCCCAATGGTCACCAATTCGAATCCCTTCAAGACCACTGAGGTGAGTACTCGACCATAAACTTCAGAGCCCGTGGAATTAGTCGAGGTATGCACAAACTGGCCCAAACATCCACAGTTATCAAAAAAAAAAAAAGTCACGGCTCTAGAATCTCTTTTTTCCATCTCGTCAACAAAGTGGTCTACCTATCGAATTTACACCTAAAATGTGAACATTCCCCTTTCAATTGTGTGATGTTAAGAAAAATGGATTGGTGAATAGATTGGTAATTCAGCAGAATCGAAAATATGAATTCAAGTTCTCCATACGTGTCAGGACCATTTCTTTAAATTGCCATTTTGATGATTACTATACTACAATCGAACGAAATCAAACTATCAAAAACTAATTAAAATCAAATTTTAATATGAATCAAACATGCCCTTAAATCATATACTGAACATCCTAAACNAAATCATATACTGAACATCCTAAACAGAGTTACAGCACTAACCAAGAATTAGAAGTAAAGGCAAATACTAATTTGACAAAATTAACAATCAAGAATCCACAGATTGAAATTCAAGTAATTAAAATTGGATAGCAAATTATGAAAACCAAATTTCATTTAACTGAGATGGTGCAATAATGTAAACCCCAATACAAAATAATTACAAATCATTTCATCAGAACCCCAACTTTCTAACCGCCGAAGCCATAGAGGGTCCTGCCCTGCCTCTTAAGAGCATAAACAACATCCATTGCCGTAACAGTCTTGCGGCGAGCATGCTCAGTGTAGGTGACGGCATCACGAATGACATTCTCAAGGAAGATCTTGAGAACACCACGGGTTTCTTCATAGATGAGCCCACTGATACGCTTCACTCCACCTCTACGAGCTAAACGCCGAATGGCCGGCTTGGTAATGCCTTGAATGTTGTCTCTGAGAACCTTACGGTGGCGCTTCGCTCCGCCCTTGCCCAAACCCTTGCCGCCCTTGCCCCGCCCTGACATTTTTCTTTTTTGTGCTTCGTTGATAATTGAGATGCTTAAACTTAACCGCTAACTTCCACGGTGGGCTTGTATCTATAGAGAGGTTAGATGTGGTAAGGATGTGTAGCCGTTGGATTTTATGTGCGTATCGACGGTCTAAAATGTTGATCCGCGTCGAGTTGATTTTGGTGAATCCTATCCCTTGATGCGGAATGAATCAACCGTGTAGAATGTGCTATTTTCTTTAGGACGAGGATAATGGGCTAAGGTGTTACAATTACATTTTTGATAAATATATATGGGAACAATAGTATTTACTTTACACCATTATAAGAATAAAAAAACAAGTTTCAAATTTCACAAATCAGATTTTTAAATTTTTTATTTATGAAATAATGAATTATTAAATATTTATGCACCTTTTGGTAACCATTATTCTAGCAAAAAATGTATTCTTTGTGTCAAATCACACA